TATGAGTTTCAAGAGAAAAAAATGGACACTTGTATACTGTAATATCGTCATAGTAAATGTAAAGTGGTAGTTAATTTGATATGTGTTCAGACTTTTACATTTTTGTAGACATTCTCAATTTTTTTATCAATTTTCTTCTATTTTCATAAACTCTACAATAATACTGCTAAATGCAACACCCTCTTCGCGATCACTTACTTCAAAATACAATAACCATTGAATAAAATACATTCATTTTAATTTTAGGAACAATTAATAAAGAACTACACTAGTATACCACTATTATTAACAGATTTATTGCATTTACACTAAGTGAGTCGATCTTAAATTGAACTGATATATGTTTTTAGTTTCTTATTAGTAATAAATAGCAAAACGCTGATTCACACTAATGCTTTTCAACAGTGTATTTTCGACACTTTCATACTTTTATAAATTGTAAAACGTTAAAATTGTGCATGGCGAACTCAATGTAGACATCAATAACGTCACCAAAGATTGTTAATTTTCCGCTTAAGATAACACTCCCACATGATAAAGCTTCAAAACTAGCACGACTGAAAGTGACTTTCTTTACACGAATCGATTCATCGTTCACTTTGTATTATGTATCTATGTTGATTTGTTTAAATTCTGTGGATTTAGGATATAAAATATCTTGCTCATGTAAAAATGCGTGCAAAAAGAATATCATCAATATATCTAAATGCGAAATCAAATGACATGGCTTCTTATATCTTCTTGTTTTTTGACAAGTGTCTGAAGGAATATCAGACTCTTTGAAAATAGGATGAAGTCGGCAAGGAGAGGCGCAGAGTTCGTTCACATAGGAATGCCGACAATTTGTTTAAAAAGTCTACTTCCAAATTCACCAAATATGTTGGCAATAAGAAACTCCAGCATACTGATCACTTATTTCTCCGTGTAGCATGTTTTACCATTTTATTCACTATAAACAAAATATGACGTATGGTATCCCAAAGTAATAAGTTTATAGCATACCACTTTTTAATTGAAAAGCATTGCGGATTATTTCTTTTGGACGATTTTATTACTTCACATGGGTTATGATGGTATATAGGGTTAAAAATTCTAAATGTTTGATAGACATTACATGTATTGTTTCAGAAAAAGATCGAGCTTCAAAATTATCCAGAGGTTCTTTAGATTTTTAGAATCCAGATATGATTGATACCACTACGCGAGTAAATAGTTTCACAGTATTTCTGAAGACCCTCTTTCATTGCTGACAGGTCAATTTAATGGACAATTCTTTAATCGAACATGCAGTTAAGACGGCAATGTACCATTCTTAGTACTGAATTTTGTGAAGCTTATGTCTCTAATACAAACAAGGTAAGTCCTCATATTTGTTGTTCAATGTTATGTTCATTGAAGCCATGATGAACTCATGATTCGCCAAAATCACATCCTTGTCAAATGATATGTTTTTGTATATAGTATAACCTGAATGCTCGTGAATTCCTAATGCTTTTACAAGACACTCGTAGAAGTACGATTTACATACAAAGTCAATATTATATGAAGCTTTGTCTGCAGGAACAACAACATACTAATCGTGAAGAGATGGTAGACATTTCACAGCCTCTTTGTCTCAGAAACGGGCTTTGGTCGATCATTCACACAGTTTTTCAACTTATGAATGGGGTGTTTTTACTAGAGACCTGTTTGTTTTGACTCATTCTCACAAAGTGTCCAGTTCAACTTCTTCTCGTTTACCCCATGCTTTGGCGTAGTCCTCAATGGATTCATTAGTATTTTGAAGTTATGGTTCCAATATATGTGTTGGGGTTCTCTAACATTAGGACCATAAGATATCACCTTTCGGAGATGTTCATGTTGAAATATGTTTAGATCCCCAGTAATAACATGGCCAAAGGGACTGTATATATAAGGCGAGTAGGAACTGTGACATTTTAGAGGGTTTGTTATGAAATGTTCTAAATCAAGGTCCTGCAATGTTTGTTTATAGTTAAATACTTTGGGTGTAATGGGTTTGGTGTGACTGTAAGATACAATAGGAACAGAATGATTGATTTTGAAAATAAAGTGGAATTTTAAATGTTACCTCCTTGTGATGGAGAACATTGCTGATGTTAATTGCATCAATTCCTCTATTGTAAACAAAACAGTAAGGGATTTTTTCTTTACCTCGTTTGAAGGTTCCGATCTTACTGGTTAAAAAAGACGGAAAAGAGCTACATCACATATTAAACTGACAAATCTGTATATTGGAGAAAATGTATTTATGCATCCTTTTTCATGTACATAATCTCTCAAACATTTGAGAAAATTAACAGGCAGTGAAAAAAGAATACACTAGCGGATGATGAAGATGTGAAAGAAGGTCATCAACGCTTCCAGAGGGCGATCTAGATTTGGAATACTTTTTACATTAGGTGGATGGTAATTTTGTTGCCCATGACTACGTTGGTGTCGTAAGGTAGTATTGAATTAGCTCATTGAATTAACATCACTGCAGGCTGGACTCGACAATTTCCTACTCCTTTGATGTTATTGGAGAAATTTTCTCTATCTTTTCGGAAAGGAGTATTTAGTATAGGGCTATTGATGTGGTGGTTAATTTTTTCGATGATGCGTACTTTCATAGATGAAGAAGGGTCATGGTCCGAAGGATTAAAAGTGTTATAAAGAACCCTGAATTTCGGATCTTTATTATCAGACTGGTGTTGATTCATACTTAAACTCAAAATTTGTCAAGTTTCATCAACATAAAGCTACATTCAATTCCGTAAACGACGTTGCCCATAGAACAGTCCAGTGGCTCAAAAAATTTAGTATAATATGTTTTTTCTTTTAAATTGTTGGTAAAATCAGGAGTCGTGATTAACATATTAAATACCTTACACGTGCTCCTTGTTTCTCTTTATGTTAACAAGACGAAATGATAGATGATAATTCACTTGTAGCAAGTGTCTTTAAACAGTCGAAAATATTAACGGAACATGGTTCAATGAAAAGTAATTGAATTTTTTGAAGTAGTAATTACCTTCCGGCTGAACATACGTCAAATTAGGGGCATCCTGGAGGATATTCTGTGGAACTCACAAATCAAATGCTACAGAGTTCTGTGCAGCAAAAGAGGACCTTGGTAACCCTGGCGACATCTTACCCAGTGTTCTTTTTTTTTGTATTATTTGTATTAATTATTCATTAAGCTACCTAGATAATGATGCCCTCGGGAAATAATCCGCCAGCAGTAAAGGAAACATAACATTGATGTGGTTGTAGTACGCACTAAACAACTTTCCTACCTCTAATAATTTTAGTTCAAAATATTTGCTTTACACAAGGCAAGTCCATAATTTATAATGTCAATTGCAATTATAAATAAAGGCAACAGTAGTATACCGCTGTTCGAAATTCATAAATCGATTGAGAAAAAAACAAATCCGGGTTACCAAACTAAAACTGAGGGAAACACATCAAATATAAGAGGAGAACTACGACACAACAGAAACACAACATTAAAATGTAACACACACAGAAACGAACTATAATATAACAATGGCCATTTTCCTGATTTGGTACAGGACATTTTAAGAAAACAAATGGTGGGTTGAACCTGGTTTTGTGGCTAGCCAAACCTTGCACTCTCATGGCAATGTTAAATATAACACTAAAATGTGTTCACCGTTACGGACAGAGAATTACGCAAATAAACAATACGATATAGTACATTTGGACAACGAAACAACAGAAACACTGAAGTGAACAAACAACAAACGACAATGCAACACACACAGAAACAAACTATACAATAACAATTGCCATTTTCCTGACTTGGTACAGGACATTTTTAGAAAAAATGGTGGGTTGAACCTGGTTTTGTGGCTAGCCAAACCTCCCGCTTTTATGGCAATGTTAAATATAAGCCAGACAGCGGGCACATTGAACTCATTTTCATCATACTTAACCCGGCAAATGAATAATCAAATCTGACCTATTACGTGAGAAAAGGTCTACCAAAAACATTAATTTTATTTTATTTTATATCTCATTTTTTCCCTGAATAATAATAATGTTTAAATACACTTTTTATTCATTTTTTAGGGTTTGTAGGTTCAGTTAGGCTTGCATACGCATATAGTGTATGTATATGAATACATGAACAATACAGAAGGCAACACACACAACAAGTGCATGTACTCAGATTGACCTTTCATTTGATACAAATATTAAAATATTTGTTGCATAGTTAATATATTAATATTTTACAAGTGTGACACATTAATATTCTTAATTTTTACATTTATGGTATATCAATATTTAACATTTTAAATGTTGCTGTTTCTTTTTTTTTTTTGTTTTTTTTCGTTTGTCCGTCTAAATGATAAACCCTGTCGATATCTTCTGGTTAAATAATGAATATCATGGTTCTGTATGTAGGATTTTAATTATTTAATATTTGGCTTAAGTATTGGATATCTGTTACATAGATTTGCCTATTCAGAAGATTCACATCTTTATAGCTATAGCGGGCATGTGTAGTTAACTCGCCAATATTTGAAAGCTTCTTATAAAATGGTTAATGAGCAGTAAAGTTCATGTTTGACTTAAAACTGACATCGTTTAAAATGCCATCTTTATACTAGAAATAAACAATAGCACTGTTCGTTTGCATTTGGTGTCAAAAAGATATGTACCATCTTAAATCTTTTTATCTATTTGTCTTTTTTTTTTTGTCTTTCTTTTTTATTTTTTTGCAGTTCTGTTATCTTTTGTTCCGTTTTTTCCTCTTATAGTTGATGTGTTTCCCTCCGTTTCGGTTTGTGACACGGATTTGTGTTCACTTTATCGATTTATGAATATTGAACAACTGTTGCCTTTATTTAAAGCATGCTTTCATCCATATTGAAACGTTTCTTCTCATTAACAAAACTGTATCGTACATATGTCTATGACGTCGTCATTGCTATGAATTGATACTTTATTATTTATTACAGGTTTGTTATAATTTTCAAAGCTAAATGGCAGAGGCAGGCCAAACACAGTTTTTAAGGTGTAAACTGGTCGTTTTTGATGTTTTAACAAATATAATGCGAAAATATATGGCTCCAGAAGGTATCGCACCAAAGGCAATTTATAATAGCATAATACAATCCAAAGCATTTAAAAGGATTTTAACAACACAAGAATTTGAAAGAATACAGAACCTTGAAACAGCTGGGTTTGAAAATTTCGATATTAACTTAATGTACAAGATTGCGAAATTCCCCATGTTTTCAATGATAATTCCAGACGTACCAACACGTAAATGGGGCTCAGAACCGTCATCAAATGAAAACTCAATTGGAGATAACATTATGCGTATTGTCAATCGCAGGAATGAGTTAGTTCATAAACACAATACGACCTTCTTGGATTCAGAATTTGAAGACCTTTTTGATAAATATCTAGACATTGGTCGACGAGCTGAGAAACATCTTTCATTGAGTGAAGAAAGCCTGAGAAGTCAAATTAGAAAATACAAAACATGTTGTATTGACAAAAACATGGAAGAGAAAATTGATAAATTGTCTAGGGAAAATGAAGATCTTAAGAGAAGTAGGTTTGACTCTTTAAATGGAGAGAGATACTAGGGATGTCAACGTGTAATCGAGTACTCTAGTATCGCTCTGTAGTACAGAGTATCGATTACCAAAATGATACTCGACTAATCGGTTTCCTGTTAGAATGTTGTTACTATTTTAAGTTTAAACAAACAAATATCTTTATTAATATTTATTTAATATATATTTTCCCGGCAGGCAATTAAAATAAGTTTCGAATGTTTGCATTTAACTGTCATTTAAATTTCCTCCAACAAAGGTGCATGTAGCATATATTAACAGGAGCATTGTTCCAAGACTTATAGTTTTTGCTAATCTTAGTCACTCCCTCCACCTCTGTACCGTCAGAGCATATATTTTCACCAGCAGGACTGTTAGTTACCTAACAAATTTGGGAAATCGCTACGTCCCAGAAAAGTTGATAAGATAATATTAATAATTAAGAACAAATTCGTTGCACCCTGTATCGACCCTCAGAAAATGATTAATGTCATCAGTAAGTTCTAATAATCACCCCTATGTTGATCATTAAATGTGGTTTTTTACGGTTCTCAAATACTGTTGTTTGAGTAATAATTTTTGTATAGATATTAATTAATTACTTGATTAGATTATTACGAGTTAATATAGTTAGTAAATGTAGTAAATTTTTTTATGCAAATGAGCTATTAATTATGGTACTATTATCTAGTCCTAGGTAAAAATGTTGAAGGTTTTACGATCCCAAGACAACGACAATTAGGTAAAATAGGTATAATTTCGTGTTTCCATTTTGTAAAAAGTTTTACCGAGCGAGTACTCGGGTATCGCTCGGAAAATCCAACAAGTAATCGATTGGTAAATCTTCACCGAGTTGACATCCCTAATTAACACTAATTAACTGTTCATAAATCGCGTAATATACTGTGTGAAAATATCAGGCTTATAAGTGTGCACGCTAGACGCGCGTTTCGTTTAAAAATACTGAGGAGTGACAATTGAATCCGGAACATTGAAGGTTTAAATAAAGTACAAATTTGAAGAGCATTGAGGAATAATTAATGTTTCAAACAATCAACGCTTTTGATAACTCCCCTAGAAGTAGCATTCACCCAATCGTTATAAAAATACAATGTTAGACATTATATTGCGCGCATTCTTTTGTCCCCTTTCAAATGATTATAGGAAAATGTTTTTTAGTGCATGTCTTAAATAATTAGCTACATGTAACTTGAACAATTTGGGTGGCATCGACTGTTTTCAGTTAAGGTATTTTGCCCTAGGTCCCATAAGGGTCAAAATCAAAACTAACATATGCCACTTTTATGTGGTTACACTTGACCAAACCCAATGGAAAAAATGTTAACCTGTATACTTAAAAATCCTTTGCTAGAGAAAATCATACAGTGGAAATCTCTGTAAAATTCAAATAATTTTTATTTTTTTATGTGGAATTTGTAATGTCAAATATGAAAAATATACGAGCTCTCACAGTTGGTGGAATTTTTCTGTAGGCACATCATAAGACCAGCAAAATTTTATAACGAATGTTAAACTTCAAAAGAGAATTGATTGTTTGAATTTTTTGGATATGAACTTAATGCAGTATATATGAGGGTTGCTACTTAATAATATGTAACACGCAGCATGCTAAAAGTTCATCGCGAGAACACATGAAAATCTCCTGGAATCGTTTGTTACAGTGTACACATTAAGTTTAGTAAAACATCTCAATAAGTGTTTGGTGAAATAAGTAAATTATAAAATGCTTGTAGCAACATTGCTCTTACTATTTGTGACAAATTGCATTACTTCGAATGAGTATTTCAGTAGTCCAGGTAAGTTCGTGATTTGGTATCGTACACATTTTGCGGACTCTTTAGAATATACATCAATGCAATCCCACAACAAATAAACACATTGTAAATACATCTAAAGGACATAGAACCATCGCAGCTAACGGAGATAGGAGTACTGTTAAAGTTGATGCAGTAGGCTATGTGTTCGAAGGGAACTTTTCTTTTGTTGGTTGACTTATAAAATAGAACTACTTACCATAGCTTTTCATCTGTGGGAATAATGATAAATTTGACACGTTCATTGGTTTTTTTTCAACTCATTTTACGTTGAAATCTAAAATATAAGAAACTAGATGTGTCGGAAGCCGTTTCAAGTAGTGGAAATTTTAAATGAATGAACATCCTTATAACTGTTTTTGTAAGGAATTTCAAAGTCCGAAACTCGTTATTTTGATACAAATAAGCTGAGCGTAAGCAAACGTATACTCAATCTGTTACTCATTATAGTCGATTTACATACCAAAAAACCGGCTCAATATATGAAGGCGTTTAGAAAAACGGAATAACAAATGACAGACAAGTGAACAATTATATGGCCCTGACCACTTTCTGAGTGAACAATTATATGGCCCTGACCACTTTTTGGGTGAACAATTATATGGCCCTGACCACTTTGTGGGTGAACAATTATATGGCCCTGACCACTGTGTGGCGGGGCTATAAAAACACGAAAAAGTAATATTAATGCTAACTATTCTTTTTGAATATTAACGCGGAAACAAATCCGTGATGCACTTAACTCAATCACCTATTGCATTGCAGAGTGCATACAATTTTGCTTTGGTTTTGATACTTTTTTTCATTTATTCCTTGAATAGATGCTTTGTACACATAAAGAAAAGAGGCAGTGGTCACGGATTTTTTTTTCAAGTTGCAGATTGCAATTGGTTTTTTTTTAATATTATAAGAAAAAAAACACCTAATATGGTCGGCGTAAACTTCTGCAATTGTTAACAAAATCGTATTAATCAAGAAAATTCATTCAAATGAAGAATCTTGCATATGAATCAATACTCACCTCAAAATTTACATATTTCTTTAATGGTGCAGACACTGTGTGTTCTGCCTATTTATCTATCTTAGAGTCGAAAGACACTCAATCTTCTATGATGTTTTACAAATGTTTTTTTTTCTATTTCTTTTCAGATTTTGAAGGGTTAATCTTAAATGGTAAATTAAATGGAATATCCAATTTTGACAATAAAGCTCTTTACTACTGTTTAATGTGTAAATAATTAAAACGTTAAATATAAGAAGATATATTCAAATAAACAATACATAAAACAGACAAATGTCAACTAATTGATAACTATTGAATTAGGGCGACTGTGGTAAAACAAACGACAAACAGGCTGACAGGGCAGTTTCAACGTCAATTTAATAATGAAATCAGTCAGACTGTTAATTATGTACATTTAATTTTATTTCAGTATTGTTTAAGTATCAATCAAAGGATGGTGTTAATTTGGAAATGTACGCTTCAATCGGAACGCAAACTATGATTGATTGTTTCCAGGCTACGCCATCATCTGAAGGTAAATGTTCAATTTTCAATAATATGATAATTTTGACGAAATATGTCATGACATTTTTTTAATTTCAACCATGTTTTGTATGTGTCTTTTACTTTTAAATGTAAGAAAACATGGTTCCTGTTTTTTAGACGTTATATAAGTGAGTGCTCGTACTATTCGAATACAGTTCAAATTCGAGATAGAAGTTTTAGTATTTGAGATTAGCTTTCATACTAGAATTAACTCTTCATTTTACTTTGAGTCAATAATTGAGGTCATGGGATATACTGGCAATTGTTTGTCTCCAGTTGTACCTTTTTTGTAACACAATTGTATAACATTTACATGTTGACAGCGTGTAGAAGGTATTTAATCTTTCTCTTTTGTCATGGACTTTGAAGTTTGTTTTTTTTAATATTTAAAAATGAACAATAGATATTTTTTAGTTTTGAGTAAGGATACTAATTAATGCTATCTGGTTTCATAAAATTAAAAAAAGTAGTTCATACGCACCAAAAATGATGAACGAAGAAACTATAGACAAACTATTGTTTTTAAAATTCACATCAACATACAAGATAAAACACATGACTGTCCGACATGACTTTTATGCGAGCAAGCTTAAACAGAATGAGAATGAATGGTCTCAATGAACAATGCAATTCGAACGAACAAAAACCGACCAAGTTGTTTTCTATTGTTAGAAAATGCGATAGTTCAACCAGTCCAAGTGTTATTTTCGTATATACAAATGCTGTAAATACTTCAAAACAAAGGATTTATCTAACTCGTAAATAAAAAAGCATATGAGTTTGAATTAATAAGATGAATTTATTTATTGATCTATATTTACCAGAATTACAGCTCAAATCAATACAGTTTAACTTCAAAACCAATTTTGTGAATCTACTTACTTACGATATCAGAAAAAAATTCAGGAAATTTTGATGATGAAATCTTTTACCTAATATTTTTTAAAGGGGCACTAGCTGTCAAATTCATGTTCACCGATTTGACTCAAATTCTCATATTTGATTTATAACCATGTAAAACATTTATGTAAACTGTTAAAATTCTAAAACAAACAATATACCGGGCATGGGCTCGATAATATGTAGCTTCGTTTCGTGTGTATTTTAGTCTAGACGCCATCTAATTAACTATCGAGTTGACCTCCGATGTCCTCCGATGACCATATAAGCGATGTAAACATAAATATAGATATAAATAGATTAAGCGAACTCGTGCTTTGATTTTTCTAGGTCTGTTTATTTTCATATTATAGATTATAATATATGTTTATCATCGTTTTTACCTGTATAAGAATGATTTTTTTGTGGATCGAATCAGTCAATCAAATGATTTACCTTTGTTTCACTTTCAATGTTGACGTTCTTTTCCTTTAAATAACTTTACACGCACAATGCATGCGTTATCCATCTCTAGCTAAGGGTTTAAATTGAAGTTCACATGAATACAGATTCAAAGAGGTCGAATTATTCACTGGCAAGTGAATAATTCATCATCAATGTTTCTTAACTTATTTCGACTAAATTGAACAATACTGGCTGCTAAAAGCGAATAATTATTTCACTGTTTCACTTTCATTAATGATTGATAAAAAAAATCATATTCTAGATTTTTTATATATCTCGTAGCTAGTGCCCCTTTAATAAATAGATATCGTTTATATAAATCTATAACATCACTGCAGAAACGGGCTTTGCAAACAAGATAAATGAATACCGGTGTATTGCATGGGTACAAAGAATTATTACATTCCAAAAAATGCAAAATAATTGTACGGAACGCAAAATCCGTAGAAGGTTCCTTGAATCTAAAGTGAAAATATATCATATATAAGATTTGATATTATCAATTTAATGAAATTAAGACGGGTATTTCATGCGTTTGTCCATAGAATGTGAATCATATCAGCACAGCAACAGTTAAAAAAATAACAAAAAATACAGTGTCGTTTTAAGTGTCAATAATAATACTGTCGATAAATTTAAATAGCGGCAAGTTATTCAATATTGTCAAGAACAAAATGTACATTATTTAATAATCTCATCACACGTCCAGTAAATATGTTTCTAAAGTTAAGCTTTTCCTTACTGTAGAAGGCCTTATATAAGGTGCAACAGATAAATTTGCACTCAGATTTGAAACATTTTTAAAAAAGATAAATCTTATATTCAATAAGATTGTTCGGAAGTATAGTATGGAAGCATATTAGCGTCACACAATTGTTGTTTGAAATTTCTTCTTATGTTTGCGTTATAACGCAAATCTAAAAATAAATTGAGAATGGAAATGGTTAATATGTCAAAGAGACAACAACCCGACTAAAGACAAAAAGCGTTATAACGCAATTTTTTCCGAAAAAACGCAAACCCTTTTATAAAAAAAATATATTGGATTTAAATTTTATAATTTTGTATGTGAGCAGTGCTTTTGTAAATGTCGGCATTTGCATATCCGTCTGTCAGTAAGTATCGGCTGTGATTAAGTTACGAGAAAAATCATGAACACAAGGAAATATCATTATAATAATTATGCATAGAAAATGAGGAAATACATGAAGTGCATTTATACACAAAACCAGAATGTTTATTGTATCAGAACATTCTATATATCTAACATTAAAATAGATTTGGTATAGGCAAATTAAAATTGAAATGTCAAGATTAAAAAATTTTGATTTACGGAAAGTGGTAAAATAGAGAAGAGCAAATACAATGTTATACAATTGTGAAATTATAAAGTAAAATTATAGACAAAATGATCTTTCTGCTCAAAATTAATTATTTAGAACTAACTTTTTTTCGTTTTGATATAAGAAATCAAATAATATGAAATAAATTCTTTTTGAATTTCAATCTAGTGAGGAAGCAATTTAAGATTCTTGGGTAGCAATTTGAATGTAGACACATAATTATAATAGTAATAAATCTTCATTTTAAACATTTATTAAGTCTTTCCACTTTTCTGTGGAAAGACCTATTGATTTTCTTATGATTATTATTTTTTTTCTCCTTCCGCCACTTTTATGTCATGCGTATAATTTTGTTTCACAAGATGTCGCTTAGATGTTTGGTATATGATATCAAACAGTTTATGCGACTTTGAAATTGACCCTTCTTAACCGAATACTTTTCTATGTAGGAGATTCTCCCCGAACACTGTTTTCCTTGAGAGTGCATCTCCTCTGTAACCGCAAAAGAAAGCGATAAATTCATTTTACCAAATTGCTCGTTATATCCTCAGGATGTTTTGTCTATTTATGAACGAAACGATACAAAAACTCCATATGAGAGTTATTTCTACTTCTGTTTTTGACATAAGGGATATATAAATGTATAGCATGAATTGTAAGTGATAGAGACCTAAGTCATATTGATTTGAGGTCCTTGCTTCATTTAAATGAAATTGAGGCCAAGGTCATATCCTAAATTTTGACTTTTCCTTATTTTATTATCTCTTCTGTCACTTTTAAAGATATATAAAAAAAACTAGCACACCATGTATGCCTAATTGTGATTAAGATATGGTACATTTGGTCTGAAACAATCCAATGACATGATTAAATTTAAGGTTAATTGATTATTACTCCAACATGTTACTTGATAAAGCCATAAGGTCTTTTGCAAACTGAGGATTGACATATGACCTTGACAAATATCAACCGGAAGTGACCTTGGGTAAACCAGAAGTAGCCATTTTTGCTCTTATTCCATGGAAAAGTACCTAAAAAAACTATATTTTTATATATATGCATACAAATAACGATCATGTGTGACTGGAAGTGACTTTCAATAAACCGGAAGTACCTAATATATCCCTTATTACAGGCAAAAGTATATAGAAACCATATATTTTTGGAATCAGTGCAAGTAAAGCTATCATGTGAGACCGGAAGTGATTTTTTTAAACCGGAAGTTGACAATAATGTACCGTCTTTCAGCAGAAATATATAGAAACATTTATTTATTGAATCAGTATGCTTTGACGCCAATAGTAACTTTCAGTTAACCGGAAGTAGCTTCTCGTCAAAAATTTAGAAAATTGATGTGGAAAGACCTTCAATAATTCTCTGAACAATTGGTTTTTAATTTTTAATAGGGTATCTTGTTTGCATTTAACCAGTCTTACACAATGCTCAAAGGGGCGCTTTGGAAACATATTTAAATTTGGGTTGCTTTCGGTTTAACTTCAATTTACTAAATTGTCTTGAAAATAAATATATACATGTATTTCTCTGCTCATTTTTTTGCCCTGTGTATAACGCAAACATTTGTGTTAATTTGCAAAGGTTTGCATTACAACTGAATGGTTTCCGTTATTTCGCAAAGGTTTGCGTTGCAACACAAACATAAGAAGAAATTGAAAAAGTTTGTGAGGCGCTAATACGGTTCCGTAGTATAGTGTAGACAGTCAACTTAAAAGGAACAAAAACCACACGTTTTAAATTGCATGCATCCGAAGAATTTTGTTGATTTGCCTTCATCAGAAACGCTCCGAATATTTGGAAGTCAAGGATGTAGAGCAATCGAAACATTTGAAGAGATATATGATCAAAAAGGATATACAAAATGGCAAAATCTATCGAAGGTCAACTTTATCTGAGGGAGTTGAAACCTCATTTTCTTAAAATTTCAAAATTAATTAACGGTAATTTTATAAATATTTTATTCAAATCATGTCAGTACCGTGTACTGACTACTGAGCCGATAATATCTTCGGGGACTGATAGTCTTTCAGAAGAGGTATCGATTTTGTGCTTTAAAATGAAAAGAACACGATATTATTTGCATGCATTCGAAGAGCTTTACTGGATATACGTTCAACAGGAACGCTTAAAGCTAAATATTAGAAAACCATTAGGTGTATAAGAATCGAAACATTTGAAGAGATGGATGACCAAAAAGGAAATAAATTAATAGCCAAATTCTCCTAGGGTAAACTTTGCCTAAGGGTTTTAAAACCTTCCTTTTAGTTTTGTTTTAATTTCATAATGTGTTTTATAAAAGTTTGTTATAAATCAAGTCAGTACCGAACAGAGATGGTGATACCCTCGAGGATTTATATTCCACAGCAGAGGTATCGACCAAGTACTATGAAATATTTAAAAAGACAGTCGAACTTGTTCATTGTTGAAGGCCTTACGATAACCTATAGTTGTTAATTTATGTGTCATTGGGTCTCTTTGGAGAGTTGTCGCATTGTCAATCATACCATATTTTCATAGTTAAATCAAAGAAAGATAAGTAGTTAACAGCTTAAAGTACGAACAGACTGATATGTAACGAATTAAGCTTTGTTAAATAAAGGAAACTAGATAAAAGCACTTAAATATTATCTGTAGAACCCTTACTATAATTTGATGCGACTGTCATACAAGTGAGAGGTTTAGCTAGCTATAAAACCAGGTTCAATCCTCCATTTTCTACATAAGAAAATGCCTTAACCAAGTCAGGAATATGACAGTTGTTATCCATTCGTTTGATGTGTTTGAGCTTTTGATTTTGCCACTTTTTTTAATTTTTAAATTTTTCATCGGAGTTCAGTATTTTTGTGATTTTAGTTTTTACTAGAAATAACAACGATCCATTTTTTATGATTGTTTTAGCAGTGTAGGAATTAAATAGGTACATACATTGAAGTATGGAACTTCAAATTTTAAGAGGAGGCCCTTAGCTTAGATATAGTCATGATATGATTGTATACTATTTGAATCCCAGTAGGACCCGGACCTGGAAGTAAAAGACTATCAATATCAAAATGTTTCTCTTTTACGTAGTAATTACTTCCCACTACAATCATTGGTGTCTTCCTTTTCGGCCAACACCAGCACAAAGCACTCTTCGAGTACCTTAAGAGTGTTTTATATTTTCGAAATGGTCATATTTTCACGATTATGTACTTTTTTATAAATTTCTAACCTAATGTCAAAATATGATACTCATTGTTTTCAAATATCTATATGCATTCATTTATTCATATAAAACTCAGGGACTGTTCACATTCACTCAACCTTTTGACAATAGTACAAGATAGTCTGCTAATAAAACATAAAATGTATATTTTTTTCCAGCTTGGTGATGAATACTCCCTCAGGCAAAGTTGACCTTAGATGAATTTGGCTATAATTTTTTTTAGGTATTTTTGTCATATAGCTCTTCAACTGTTTCGGTACTTATACATCCTCGGATTTCAAATGTTTGGCTTTGAGCGTTCCTGATGAAGGTAAATCCAGAAAAGCGCTTCGAACGCATGAAATAATTAAACGTGTTGTTTTCAATTTTTTGTGTAAAAAGGTTTCATGTTTTCAGTATTATTCATTCATCGATATTGATTAAAAACGATACGACAATAGTTGTAGTTATATTATATCTATTTCAGGAACCAGTTCAGCAGAGTTAAGAATACTTGGTATAGAAAATTCAGCTGAGAGAGCCAACCTGATTTATTCAAGGAGGGATGATATAAACACAGACAATATATCCATCAACAATGCAACGGATGGAAGTTTGTTACTCTTCTTGACAATAAGAAACAGCATATTTATAAGTGACGAACTTATAGAAATTGAAATAAAAAAATTCATTGACAACGTATTTGATATTGCAGATTTGAGATGCAGTAAAATTGGCCAATGCAATTTGATTCTACACATTGAAAACAACAGCGGTATGTTCCAGAATAAATTACAAATCCTATTTATTTTCAAATGCATTGTTCAATATACAAATTTAAAGTTAATTTGGAGAAAACTATTTAAAGATAACATTGTTATTAGATAGGGCTTAATCGCTGAGTTAATGTATAAAATTTTGTATATAAATGACTTTAATTCAACAGACTGTACAAAGTACTTCAGGGCTTGGACATTAGTACATGTAGAACATTAGTAGGAAAATAACACAAAATTGACTTTGCAGTTTTAATCTGGAATAATTTTTAATCAAACAAAGTGATGTCTAATAGATTAAAGTTATGTCTTATCGTGTTAGTAATTTTACTGTCATTAGTTTTTTAAAAGAGCATTTAAGACTGCTATATTCAAATGCAGACGTGAGCATTAAATGTCAATACTATTTTCAAATATATATCGTACTTTAACATGTTTATGCAAGTAGGCAGTAATAATAACATATGCTTATCTTAGATTGTAGTGATATGGAGGAATTGGAAAGTGATAATGACCTTGTTTTACATCTTGATATAAAGAATAGTGCGTTCAAAACTGATTATTCCATTTCACAAACCTTCAATCAATTTATTTCAAATGTTTTAACAAGCATGAATGGACAGCCTTTGACAAATAGAAGAGAGGTTACAGCTATACTTGATGTGAAGGAAAACGGTATTTTGATTTAGGAATACATGTATTTATTTTTGATATTATCTCCGGAAATATTCAATATCTCAGTTTAGTAAACTATTCTTTTTTGAAACAGCCAATAAAATTCTGATAGTTTTATCCAATTCTCAACAGAAAACTGTATGTTTCCGTAGGACATACGATACAGTAGGAAAAGTAGATAATATTGTATCAAAACTGAACGCGTTGTTTTCGCATTTTTGCTAATGATAAACATACAAAACTAATCATTAACAATGTTGTCAGTGAATTGAAACGTCATTTAGTATAAAAAAAAATTATTCAAAATCTGATCTTTATTTTTTTTTATGTGGGTATTCTTTTAGGAAAGGGAAATATACAGAAATGAGTCGATTGTCTTGCCTGTCGCCGAGTCATGATTTGAAAAATGAATCTACAATTTGGACCGTTAGTCAATCATAAGGCAATATTTTGACATTTATAAATCAAATTGGAGTATACAAGATTTAAATGACATATTTAAACAATCCGATGTGTGGGAACGACACGAATGGCCCCGGCCGCCATAATAAATTGAGCCTTTTTTCTGAGGGGAAATTTGAAACGTGTTTTCATCAGTAGTTCTTTTACGAAATTTTCAAATCCCGTAATTTCAGTACAATTACATTAATCATAACCCGACATAAACTCATTCATTAACTCATCATAATTCACTCACATGACAGAAATCAGCTGAATATGTAAAGGTGTTTAGAAAAGGTCCGGATAACTCCTACTTTTATAAAATTTTCAAAGTCCAAAAGTTGGTATAACTGTTCGTTGCGGAATGATGGAATGGCGGATAAGGGTAAAACTATATAGCCCGAAAACTTTGTTGCGGGGCATTAAAATATATCTCAAATATGACATGTTAAGTTCTATATACTCTTTCAGAATTGGCCGTGGTTAGCCCATTTGGTCAAGCTCAAAAGGCGATTGAGCACGACAAAGGTATGTTATTGATGTGCTGTCCTTTTTTTTTCTTAAATATAATTGTCATTGAAACGAATAAACGTTTACTAGTCGTTGTCAAATACAATTTCACGTTTTTGTCGCCAGTGTAGTGGATGAAAATTTTTCCACAAAACACTCTATGTCAATGTTTTCTTTCCGCATAAATTTACACCAAATATCATTAACTTTTTTGTAAAAGTTTCACTATCATGTATTTTGTTACTTTTTAATATTCTAAAACCACAGAAGGAAAGTTTTTATTTGTTCCTTTATTGCAATGTTAATGTCTTTTGATCGTAATTAATTCTGTACACAAATGTATCTGTATGATAAACACAAAAAAGTAGAATAACAAAAATATCAAACTAAAAATATACAAAATTCAAAACGGACAGTCCCTAATCATGCTAATCAAATAGCAAAATCAAAAGCTCAAACACATTAACGAATGGATATCAACCGTCATATAACTGACTTGGTACAGGCAGTTTCCCATGTAGAAAATGTTTGAATAAACCTGCTTTTATAGCTTGCTGAGTCTCTCACTTGCGTGACAGTCGCATAAAATTCATTTATATTGACAAAAATTGGTAAACAAAACAAACAGAAGTAATGGGTAAAAATGTCAAAAATAGGTAAACAACATTCAACATTGTATTATAATCTTTATCACTATAAATACAAACAAATATATCAACAAAGAAAAATAAAAAGGCATATAGACAAAGCACATTACTAAAAACGAAAGACAAAAATGCAAAAATTTACCATAGCATAATAACACAATGACTAGATGTATAAGTAGCGAGACACGTCAAATGGATAATACTAAAAGTGGAATAACCAGTAAAAGTAATAATTTAAAAAAAACGTAAAAGAACACTATAACACATAAAAAAGATGATAAACATCTATACTTCAAGACCAGCGTGTATAATTTGTGAAGTTGATTCGGAATATTCATCAACAAGGTCTTTGTATCTTCTGATGAACTTTACAAAAATAATACGAGACGTTCTTTGACATTACTCTGGTTCATCATAACAAGATAACATCATGTTGGAAGTGCCTTGCAGTTAATCAAAAGAATCATTTAATAAATTCCCCCCAAAAATACATTAATATATTATAACCGCCATGAGTAAAAATTAAAAAACTATTTGTAGCTTGATAGGGAATTAGATATAAATGGTCAAGTTTAAAAAGAATAGAATTGTCCAAACAAGTAATGTTTTGATTGATTTGATGATTCAAATATAAGATTGTCTTGAGGAGAAAGTTTGTTATGAATGCTTTATAGCTGTCATATCTAATCGATTTACGATTGAAGGCCAATTCTGTAGTATCCAAATGGTTTACTAGCATTTGTGCATTATATTTCAATTGTGACACCTCGATTTTTGACTTGAAGATGTAGTGTTAAATGAAATTAGCTCCATGATGCTTATAGAAACCACAATAGTGTCAACATGTTAACGGAATAACACACTTGTTTCCTGTGATAGTCATAAATAATTATAACATTCCCTTGTTTTACCATTATTTCTATTAAAATTTACGATGGCCGTGTAAGTGTATCAGCGTATCAGGAAAAATCTGAGACATCCTTTTGGAGGTAAAACGGTTTTGCATAATATTTATCAAACATTTCGAATGGTATGAATAACATAGAAGCTAATGTCATTCAAATGTACGTGTACATCTAAATCTAGCAAGTAATTACATAATAATCAATTTTGTAGGAATAATGCAAGAATGAAATCATATCCAAATGAAAGAATATTCTTTTTTCTCGTTTATCAATTATAAATTATATAAATTTTTGTATATGTTTAAAAGTAATTACGACAGTTTAAAGTTGTCTAACTGAGGTAAAAAAATCTTTGTATTGTGCAACCTTTATCAAACATGACCTCCCCTAAACATATCAAAATGAGGAAAACATAACAATCCTTACTTATCTCTCTTGCAGCTCGGTGACTATTTTCAACCCTGCTCTCGTGTTCTGTATATATTAATTTTGGAAACCTCTGTCACAAATCTCCGTTCAAACTAATACAGACTTACAGTCATAATCTCGTGTTTTATCTGTCGTAGACTTTTAAGACCGGTTGGTATTGAAAAAGATGAAACGGAGAAACGATTCTTTTGAAAAGACACTAAATAAAGATGTTTAATGAACAAACAAAAAAAGACAGACCATGGCATGTTTTAAAATGAAACAATAGATACTAGTATTGAACATATTTTTGTATCTCACCTGGCTCAAAGAGAAAGCGATCCTTTCTCATCACGTCAAAATTATTGAAATTTGGCTACAATCATTATTGGAAAATCTAGTTTACAAACTGTGTTCAATGATCCTATCAACCAACATGGCTGTCCTGGCTAATATAGAGTAAATGTAGCAAACATAAGCTACTAGAAAAGATATAAAAATAAGTAAAGTTTTTTTTGGCAATTGTCAGTAGACTCTGTATTGTCCTTAACTGACAATTGGCAAACGCTTTTTTGTTTGAGGGGACGGGAAAAAAATAAAACGAAAACAAAATAAGAAAAACTGTAAACAGAACCTTTTATCAGCTATGCATAATTAACCAAAAAGATATTTATGTCATTTTACTTATACATTTTACTTATACTAATACTTATTCCAACGTCGAGCTTTCATATATTCTGGCACATAAAATGCTACTATAAAATAAAACACAATGAAATACCATACAAAACACAAAATAATACAATAAACAAATATTCCTATGAACAACAGGACGCAAATCGTAAGGTAACACAGGTGCTTTGGATGAATGATTAATCAGTTCTTTCAAAGCTTTCAAAACAAGAAAAAAGTATATCTGAAGGTAACCCAGTTGCTAGGGATCAGAAAGCATTTCACATATACTCATCTGTTTAAATATATGATAAAGCGTATAAAACATGTCAAAATTCGTATCACATGCCGTATCACCCTCAACCAATATCATCCCTCGGGCCTAAAGACCAAGGCTGATATTGGTATATCGGGATGAAACGGCATATGATACGGATTTTGTCATGTATAATTCTCTATATATTATCGTAACACCTTCATTCTGTTATTCTCATTTTTATGTCGAATGTGGAAGCAATGTGTACGTGCACGGTGTACTGAAAAGTAAACGCTTCTTTAATTTTCTTTCTCATTTATCAAAAAGGAAAAGATGAATACAGCAGTGAAAAGAAAGGCGATAAAACAACAACAATTAAAAACAATGGAGGTGAGTTTGTTGAGCGCAATAGTTTATTGTAGCGGAAGTAAAACAGAGAATTTGGGTGGAAAAGATATTTATATGTACCACATCTTCTTATATCTATGAACAAACATATGTACATATTTGTAAACAAACCAGAACTTCTTCATAAAAACAACATGTTATGAATTTCCTGCGTCTGACTCCATTTAAGTCAACTTTGGCAATGTATGTTGAAACAATAGTCTCAATAGATTTGTAAATGTATAAGCGGACAATTTAAGAAAAGTTTGTTATAAATCATGTCAGTATTTAGGTACTTAAGTACTGACTCCTAAGATGACGATATCTCTGGGACTAATATTCGTCCACCAACAGTGGTATCCAACCAGAGGTGTAACAAATGAAACCAACAATTCATAAATACCATGCGTCAGAAGCGCTTTTATGATTTACCGTCATCGGGAACGTGAAGACCGATTATTTGAAAGCCCAAAATGTATGAAAACCGAAACAGTTAAGAGGTATGTGACAAAACATAGCCCTTGGAATAATAGTCTAACTTTGCCCGAGGGAGTTTATCCCTTTGATTCTTAATAATTTGCAAATTTTAACGCCATTAGAATAATGGTTTATTATAAAGCATGTGAGTTCAAAAATAATGACTACTGAGCTGATACTACCCTCGGGAACTGTATTTGACAAACAATATAAATGTTACAAAATATGAAGAAGTATCTACGCAGCGAAGTTTTGGTTTCATGTACTATTGTTCTCCACATTTTCTTTGATTCAAAATTTAATAATTACCAGTCAAATAAACATGAGATATAAGTTGATCTCTTTCGAAAAATGATCTTGACAAACATATCAGCAACTTTGTCATTGTTTTCATTTTCGATGTTATTCTTTCCGATTTACATCGAAAATTTGAAGTTAAATTTCTTTGTACAATGTCATTCCGCAAGAAGAGGGACACGGATAAACTAGGTCATACTGTCCTAACTCTATAAAAAGGTCAAAAGCAAAAGAGACATATTGAAATATCTGCATAACGTGTTTTCTTACAAACAATCAGCTACCTGATTTATATGATTTTAAGTTTAAAGCAATTATGCACAGGATTTTTTTGTTCATACACAGTTTTGATTAAAAAGTAAAACCAGAAATGGTTAGAAAATACAAGTAATAACACCATTACAAACACAATTTCATTTTAATATTGTTGTCACGGTTTGAAAATACATAAAATGACACCATTACAAACTCAATCCCAATTGTAACATTCTTGTACGCGTCTATAAATATACAAATCTATTTTATTTTTAGAAATATACCTGTATCAATAACGGCACAAAAAAGTCACCTTTTGCGACGTTGATCCATTCATGTGACTTGCACTTAATATTTCGTTTGTGGTGTCCTGGTGCGCTGTCGTAAATTCATGGAAGGTGTCCGTTGTTATTACATGTTTTAATGTACTATTATATTACCTATTTATGTATTTCTCTGTGCTGAGTGTTGTCATATTAGTGGTATTTTTAAAAATTGCCATATAAACCCGGTTTAACCCACCATTGTTTCTTAAAATATCCTGTACCAAGTCAGGAATATGGCAGTTGTAATCTACAGTCCGTGTCTATGTATGTTGGTTTTGCTTTTGTTGTAGTTCATTGTTTCTGTTGTTCCGTTGTTTTCCTCTTAAAATTGCTGTGTTTCCCTGGGTTTAAGTTTTGCTACCCTGATTTTTTTTTGCTTAATCGAATTATGATCATTGAACAGCGGTATACTACTGTTGTCTTTATTCATAACAACAGAAGCTTCGATTTTGTTTGCGATATTTCAAGGCTTTGTAAAGATTATCTATTTTATAACTTTTTAAGATGAGTAAATCTTGAGCAGAGATGACGTTTTTGTGCCTACCATTTAAAATAAAGTTGTTGGAAGAGTGAAAACAAATCTTAAGTGGTTCTTTTCTAGGCCGATGTTCTCTAATTGTAAAGCAATAAACAAATAAGGCTTTGGTTATATACTGCAACAATGATGTGAACTGTACATTTAATTTGAGTATCAAAATACTACAATGATATATAGATTATTATACATTTTTGTTAACCTATAAATATTTTCGAATATTTGAAAGCTCCTTGATATTCACATTTCTTTAGTTATATTCACATTTTAATATTGAGTAAGAAAATGCAAGAATACAAGACAACAAATGTCTTCATCGTATACATTACAGATAAAGATTCCAGGTGTCACAAAGACAACCGTTTGAAGTATAGAATACCTTTACTGATGATATTTGCAGTCATAATCGTGATCGTTGCTGTTTTTGGTAATATTGTTTACAATAGGATCATGGAAACTAGAATTGTGACACCATTAGATATTCCAAAGATAAATTCAGAAAATGTAACTGGTGCAGATATCAATTCTGAATTATTTTGGGGTACTTATAGATCCAATTTATATTTTGGAATGAAAACCAGATCTCCGAAATCTCCAGTGATTGGACTTATGTGGTTTGAACAATCCTTGTCTGAAAATGCATGGCAGCAGCATGTACCCAAAATTAGACACTGGTGTGATCAAAGACACAACATATCAAAATATGGATGGTTGAGACACGACGGGAAAAACTTCGGCATACAAGAAATTGTCGAAAACACTTTCATATTCAATACTTCTTTTGTAAAACGAGCAGGCGGAAGCCATGGTGGTGATTGGTCAGCAAGAATAACAGCCATGCCAAAAGTAAGTCTTTATGGAATCTTGTTATAAAGAAATAATAGAAATAAATTTAGATAAAGAAGATCGGATGTCATCTGTCATATCAATTTTTTTTTAAAGCAGAACACAATCGGTCTAAATCTTCAATGAAATAGGCAAATTCTTAGACAGAAATGTGATTCATTCAAAAGACTTTTCATCCATATGAAGTCAATGAGGTGATTTATCGTATTATTACGACTTGTTTAACTCATGCAGAAAGCAAAGTTGACCTCATATGGATTTGTCTAATTTTCAAGGTCCTTTTTTGGTCATATACTGTTTCAACTGTTTGGGTTCTTATACATTCTTGGCTTTCAAATAATCGGCAATGGGCTTTCCTGATATAGGTTAATCCATAAAATCGCTACGTAACGTGTTGTTTTCATTTTTACACCTCTGCTGGTAGACTATCAGTCCCCGAGGATATCATTGGCTCATTTTTTTGTGATTGATTGATTGATTGATTGATTGATTGATAGGTTGTTGTTTTAACGATACTAACAACACGATTTTTTTCTTTCATGGCGGTCAGTTTTTATTGGTGGAGGAAGCCCAGAGAGAACCATCGACCTCCGGTAGGAAAACTGACAATCCTAGTTAATTAAAATCGGAGTCGATTCAAACTGACAACCACAGTATTGATAGGCTACTGATACAATAGTTTGAATACTTAGACAACGCGGCCACCGAGACCCCTCGGTACTAACAAGATTTATAACACATCTTTCTAAAATTTTAAATTATAAGAAACTTAAGTTTCAATACCTCAGGCAAAGTTAACTTTAGATAGAATTGTCTATTTATAAGGTTCGTTTTTGTCATATAGCTCTTCAACTGTTTGGGTTCTTATACATTATTGGCTTTCAAATATTCGTCTTTGAGCGTTCCTGATGAAGGTAAATTCCGAAAAGCGCTTCGGGTGCATTAAATTCATAACGTGATGTTTTCATTTTTACGGTGAATATGTATCACAAACTTTTTCGCAATGCTATTGTCTGTAGTGACGTTTTAGATTTCAATGAACGTAATCACTAGTCCATCATAAATCTGAGACATCGTTACCACAAATAACTATAAACATTTACTAAATTCGTTCATAGATACAACGACTTTACTTGGAAAATTGACAGTTTTGCTTATTATATAAAAAAGAAGATGTGGTATGATTGCCAATGAGATAATTCTCTACAAGACTAAATGACACAGAAATTAACAACTATAGGTCACCGTACGGCCTTCAACAATGACCAAAGCCCATACCGCATAGTCAGCTATAAAAAGCCCCGAAATCACAGATATAAAACAAAAACTAACAGCCTAATTAATGTACAAAAAAATGAATGGAAAACAAATATGTTACACAGTAACAAACGAAAACCACTGAATTACAGGCTCCTGACTTGGGACAGGCACATACATACAGAATATTGCGGGGTTAAACATGTTAGCAGGATCCCAACGCACCCCCTGACCTGGGACAGCAGTGTAACAGTACACCATAAGAAAAAACTATAAAAATCAGTTGAAAAAGGCTTAATTCATCAGATGGATACAAAAAAATACATATAACAAAAACATGTGGACGTGACCGGGTACTTGTACATCCCAACAACAAAAAGACACTAAGTATTATTAGGTCTGTTTATTTTGTTCTCACATTTTTGTCCATATAATGGAATTTTTTTCTCATAATGTGAGGTTTAGCGAGCTATAAAATCAGGTTTCATCCACCTCATGTGTACATAGTACATAAGGAAATGACTGTACCAAGTCGGGAATATGACAGGTATTTTCCATTCGTTTGATGTGCATGTTTGATCTTTTGACTTTGCCATTTAATAAGGGACTATCCGATTTGAATTTTGCTTGGAGTTCGGTATTTTTGTTATTTTACTTTTTAAATTTAGCTGTATCTCTAAAAAAATCTTAAATGTGTATCACATCTTTATTCATATCATGGTTGTTTAAAGAGAATGTAGATAAGATTCGTGTAAACTTGTCGATCCCCTGAATACAATTATTTCATTATTTGAAAATAAAATGATTCGCTGGGCGCAGCTTGATACGACCGCAGAGGTCGAACCCTGAACAGTTGGGGCAAGTACGGACACAACATTCAAGCTTGATACAGCTCTGAATTTGGATTGTGATTAAATATTTGACACAGCATAGGTTTCTGACACAGAAAGAATGTGGTCTAAGAACTTGATTTTTTTTAATTTACCTATTATGGTCCAATGTCCTAAATCAAAATACATGGTTAGATTCAGCATATCAGAGAACCCCATATATTCAATTTTTGTTGAAATCAAACAAAGTTTAATTTTGGACCCCAACTTGGACAAACTTGAAAACTAGGCCCATAATCAAAAATCTAAACACATGTTTAGATTCATCATATCAAAGAACCCCAAGAATTCAATTTTTTGTTAAAATCAAACTAAGTTTAATTTTGGACCCTTTGGACCTTAATGTAGACCAATTTAAAAAACCGGACCCAAAATTAAAAATCTAAATACACGGTTAGATTTGGAATATCAAAGAACCCCAATAATTCAATTTTTGATGAAATCAAACAAAGTTTAATTTTGGACCCTTTTGACCTCAATATGAACCAATTTGATAGCGGGCCCGCAAATAAAAAATCTAAATACATGGTTAGATTCAGCATATCAAAGAACCCCATATATTCAAATTTTGTTGATATCAAACGAAGTTTAATTTTGGACCCCAATTTGGACCAACTTGAAAACTGGGCCAAAAATCTAAAATCTAAAAACATGTTTAGATTCAGCATATCAAAGAACCCAAAGAATTCAATTTTTGTTAAAATCAAACTAAGTTTAATTTTGGACCCTTTGGACATTAATGTAGACCAATTTAAAAATCAGGACCTATAATTAAAAATCTAAATACACGCTTAGATTTGGCATATCAAAGAACCCCAATAATTCAATTTTTGGTGAAATCAAACGAAGTTTTATTTTGGACCCTTTTGACCTCAATATGAACCAATTTGATAGCGGGGTCCACAAATAAAAAATCTAAATACATGGTTAGATTCAGCATATCAAAGAACCCCATATATTCAATTTTTGTTGAAATCAAACAAAGTTTAATTTTGGACCCCAATTTGGACCAACTTGAAAACTGGGCCAAAAATCAAAAATCTAAATACATGTTTAGATTCAGAATATCAAAGAACCCCATATATTCAATTTTTGTTGAAATCAAAAAAAGTTTAATTTTGGACCCCAACTTGGACCAACTTGAAAACTGGGCCCATAATCAAAAACTTAAACACATGTTTAGATTCAGCATATCAAAGAACCCCAATAATTCAATTTTTGTTAAAATCAAACTAAGTTTAATTTTGGACCCTTTGGACATTAATGTAGACCAATTTAAAAATCAGGACCTATAATTAAAAATCTAAATACACGCTGAGATTTGGCATATCAAAGAACCCCAATAATTCAATTTTTGATGAAATCAAACGAAGTTTAATTTTGGACCCTTTTGACCTCAATATGAACCAATTTGATAGCGGGGTCCACAAATAAAAAATCTAAATACATGGTTAGATTCAGCATATCAAAGAACCCCATATATTCAATTTTTGTTGAAATCAAACTAAGTTTAATTTTGGACCCCAATTTGGACCAACTTGAAAACTGGGCCAAAAATCTAAAATGTAAATACATGTTTCGATTCAGAATATCAAAGAACCCCATATATTCAATTTTTGTTGAAATAAAAAAAAAGTTTAATTTTGAACCCCAACTTGGACCAACTTGAAAACTGGGCCCATAATCAAAAACTTAAACACATCTTTAGATTCAGCATATCAAAGAACCCCAATAATTCAATTTTTGTTAAAATCAAACTAAGTTTAATTTTGGACCCTTTGGATCTTATTGTAGACCAATTTAAAAAACAGGACCCAAAATTAAAAATCTAAATACACGGTTAGATTTGGCATATCAAAGAACCCCAATAGTTCAATTTTTGATGAAATCAAACGAAGTTTAATTTTGGACCCTTTTGACCTCAATATGAACCAGTTTGATAGCGGGGTCCACAAATAAAAAATCTAAATACATGGTTAGATTCAGCATATCAAAGAACCCCATATATTCAATTTTTGTTGAAATCAAACTAAGTTTAATTTTGGACCCCAATTTGGACCAACTTGAAAACTGGGCCAAAAATCAAAAATCTAAATACATGTTTAGATTCAGCATATCAAAGAACCCCATATATTCAATTTTTGTTAAAATCAAACAAAGTTTAATTTTGGACCCTTTGGACCTTAATGTAGACCAATTTGAAAACTGGACCCAAAATTAAAAATCTAAATACAGGTTTAGATTCGGCATAACAAATAAATAAATGTGGTCAAAGATTTTACAAATCTCATGCGCCATACTGTGCAATTAAAGATTACTTTTTGAAATTTTTCAATATTTGAAATTTGAAAAAAAAATAATATTTGAAGAATAATTCTTTTTAATTTCTGAAATCTGAAATGAGAAAAAATTGACCCCCTACAATTTCTTTTTACCCCCCCCCCCCTTTTTTTTCCCAAAAAAAAATTCTTTCCCTCAAGATATGGTCATAATCTCAATTCAAATTTCCAATGGAGTTGGCAACCATAATTACCCATTTAAATTTACCATAGTGCTAACTTAATCTATTTTATAATAGAATTTAAAATATAGTGTCAAATCTTTCATATGGATTTTTTTGTAAAAAAAAAAGGATGCAACATTTGCAGATATTTTTACTGGTCTTCCTTTATAAATATGCATTTCTTTAAACATAATTTAAAAGCAGTGTAAGGGAAGTAACCAAAACGTTGTATTTGGATTACCTCCCTTACACTGTTTTAAATTATCTTAATTGTTCATTAACTATTACTTTATACATATTTTAAAAGCAGTGTAAGGGAGATAATTTCAATGATGTATTTGATTTATCTCCCTTACACTGCTTTAAATTATGTTTTGTACTAAAGTATTTGTCTATTAACCAGGACAACCTTGTTTTCCCCCCTTTTTTGCCCCTAATTCCTAAACGGTTTGAGCCATAACCCCCCAAAGCAAATCCTAACCATCCCTTTGTGGTATGGAAACTTGTAGTATAATTTCAGAGAGATCCATACACCGTTCCACAGTTATTGTCTGGAAACTAGAAAATGCTTATTTTTTATCCCTTTTTGGCCCCTAATTCTTAACTGTTGGTACCATAACCCCCAATCAATCCCCACCTTCCTTTTGTGGTATTTAACCTTATGGTCAAATTTCAAAAAGATCCATTCACTTAAACTAAAGTTAGAGTGCGAAAACCAATGTGTCTTCGGACGACGACGCCGGAGACGACGCCGACGACGACGCCGGACGACGACGACGACGCCAACGTCATACCAATATACGACCACAAAATTTTTTTGCGGTCGTATAAAAAATCAATTTGATCTTTGAGTTATACCTTGGTTTGATGAATTAAGCCTTTTTTAACTGACCTTAATTTGTTTTTATGTTGTGCTTTTACTCCACTGTCACAGGTTATGGGAAAAGTGAGCGCTCGCAAACATATTATTCGTCGTTATATTCTGTCTGCGCATGTGTCGGACCATAGCCTTTAATTCCGTAGTGTTTCGTTAATTCTTTATAACATGTTATATATAAACCAAGCCATTGGGTTCCCGTTTTATTTGTTTTACGATATGACATGTCTCGGTTTTTTTATAGTTTACTATGCAGTATGGGTTTGGCTCATTATTGAAAGCCATGTTGGTACCTATATAGTTTAGTTGCCTATATCTACGCCATTTTTTTTTTTTTGGATAGTTTATCATAGGCAATCATAATACTCCTTCTAATTTTTATTTATTTCAGGATTTAGCTCGTTTGCATATTTTCAATAATAGTTCTTTGTAAATTGTTGTGTAGACTAGAATCGAATGCAATTTGCATAAGAGAACCGTCGATGCTTGATTTCCCTGAATTTCGAACCGGTTAATATGTATGATGATATTTCACTAAAGGAGAATTGGGGGCGCTTGATTTCGAAAATCAAACAAGTATGTGTCCTTAGTACACCATGGCTCTCTCCCACTATCACATTTCCATTATCAGTAAACCATGAAATCTGGATAAAAAAAACTCAATTTGGCATTATATATTAAACAGTTCACTCAATATGAACATGTTGAACTCATTTTCAATCTGATTTGACCATTTACTACCTTAATAAATCATACTTTCCGTAAGCCAATTGTTTTACCTCATATGGAAAAAACAGACTAACGAACGGTGGAATCAAGACCGAAATACATATTGCCAGGTCTTATCGTAGATGGTATTTATATATATCACTCCTCAAACGCAATACAACTATACATGTATATATGATGTTGAGATGTTGTCATTGACATTTCAAAAAAATATAAAAAAAAAGCAAGTAAGAACGAGTCAAAAAAAGATATACAAACCTTGATTATCATGTAAACTAACACCTTCAAATAGAACATGTAGAATTTTCAAATTAATAGAGGTATAAGTAAAATTAGATATCGAGTAGACTTTATTGTAGGCGTAATTCAGTATTATCAAAGTATTGATGCATACAGTTTTTGAACATTACAATCATTCGATATACTTCATAAATTTAAAAACGCTTTGATAAGCTCCAATTTACTGTGTACAATGAATGGAACTGGGATTAAACTATTTGTTTTTCCTTGCGTTCGTTTTAGAAGATATGTAACTGCCTTTAAAATATGTAATATATATTTGATACTTGCAGGATATCAAGAAAAAAGTCATAGTGTCTTTTCTCGTATACTTTGCATTTGAAGGTGGTGACGGAAATATGGTACCTGTTATGAATAGCGAAGACAGTATTGATTACATAAATGGATCAACCAGCGATTTAGGCTATTTTCAACTTAAGTTTCCGCCAACGATATTGTCAAAAAAAGTTAAATTTTCACACAAGATGATACATTATTCAAACCTTACTCAATTAGAATTACTCGTAAAAGCTTATATGACAATCAATTTTTGGAATACTACACATTATTTCAATTCTTTAGACGGGGAAGGTGGTAATTCTGGGAATGTTCTTGTTTACCAGGTTACAGCAGAGGTTCCCGTTCAATTTGACATTGTATTCGAATCTTTGAGCTTCCACAAAAGACAGGAATGTCTTAAAGATAGTGTTTTCACGCGAGAATTTAATGGATATTCACAATCGTTCGATGACCGTTTTTCGTCTATTTTTAAGCTGAAAACAAGAGGCTACGACACAAAATCAATTGATTTTGCCAAAGCAGCTTTAAGTAATTTACTTGGAGAAATAAGCTACTTTTATGGGTCATCCCTTGTAAAATCAAAGTACAACCAGATACCTATTGATTATTGGTATTCTCCTTTGTATACATCTATTCCATCTAGGTCATTATTCCCCAGGGGATTTTTATGGAACGTCGGCTTTGATAATATTCTAATCAGCCTTTGGAATTCTACAATTTCTGAAGAAATAATTGCCCATTGGTTAGATTTGGTCAATATTGAAGGCTGGATACCTAGGGAACAAATTTTGGGAGATGAGGCTAGAGCTAAAACCCCAGAAAAATTCATTGTTCAGGAAAATGATAATGCTAATCCACCAACTCTGTTTCTTACAATTCAAAATCTTGTATCAAGAAATTTGACAAATACGGATTTTTTAAGAAGGATTTTTCCAAGATTGAAGATGTGGTTGAACTGGATTAATGTTAGCCAGGTTGGCAACAACCCACATACGTACTATTGGAGAGACCGGAACAGGGACACCATGAAATTTAATCCTTTAACTTCATCATCTGGTTTTGATGACTATCCTCGCGCCTCACACCCTACCACAGATGAACGCCATGTGGATCTTAGATGTTGGATAGCTATGGCTTATGGTGTATTATCTGACATAGCCAAGATAATACAAGAGGAATGGCAAGATTATGAGGCCACGTATAAGCTTCTGATGAATAATGATATTCTTGACAACCTCCATTGGTCACCTGAAAGGCAAATCTATAGCGACTACGGTTTTCATACAGATGATGTAACATTGCATAATCAGACAGTGAATGCTACAACTAAACCAAAACTTCGATTCATCAATTCATTTGGATATGTGAGTTTGTTTCCCTTGATGCTAAAAATAATCAATCCTGAATCCCCTAGGCTCCACAAGATACTCACAAACCTAATCGATCGAAAGTTATTGTGGACTGACTATGGATTACGGTCACTAGAAACGACATCTCCATTTTACCAAAAGTGGAATACAATAGATGATCCTCCGTATTGGCGGGGAGCAATTTGGATTAATATGAATTATTTAACTCTAAGTGGTCTACACTATTATTCGAACACACCCGGAAAATATAAAAACCTAGCTGCAACAATATACAAAGATCTTAGGAATAATATAGTCACTAATGTGATAAATGAATATTATAAAAAAGGTTACATCTATGAGCAGTACAACGATAACACGGGAGAAGGAAAGGGCTGTCATCCTTTTTCCGGGTGGTCGGCACTTATTGTGGCAATTATGGCAGAAAAATATAATTAATCCGTTTTTAGTGGAATGGAGCTGTTTTTTAAACAAAAAGATAATCAAAAGATAAAAAGTGCACATACTATACTGCTGTTTGTGTTAAAAAAGAATAGGGGATCAGAAAAAAAAATATTTTTTTGGAGACACAATGCATCAAATATGGGTGGATTTTGTAAATTTTGACGACGAAAAACTTTCGAACAGTGTAATTTAATTATGTTACAGTGATTGTCTTAACCGAAAAATTGTAAACGCGTTAAACTTTTTCGTTAAAAGTACAATTAAATCCTTCTATTGTTTCTGCGAACATACAACGCAACGCTATTTAGGGAGTATGCCATTGCCGATTGATGACGGCGTAATTACTGCGAGGGCGAACCTTTAACATTTTAAAAGTTGATTAGATGAAGACGAATGCCAATGCAGTACAAAGAAGGGTCATTATTCATATCTCATTAAAGGTTCTTATCCTGATGTATGCATGTAATATTTGCGAAAGGTCGTAAAACATCTATTCATTATCATCATCGTCGTATTTTATCGGTGATTGATTTTAAGTTTCTATAGAAATTTATTCTTTGAAAAATATCCAAACTGTGCTATAAACTTTCCCCGATGCCATCGAATCAAAATTTTATTCATACATATACTGTGAATATTTGTTGTTTGGCATATTGATGAGATCACTGATTCTGTCTTCAGATTACTGGCTGAGAACTAATTTTGTTTTTCTTCTTCGAGAAGCAACATAACAGTTTATTTGGGAAATATAAATTCTAAATTTATTCGTATAAACGTAATTATGTCAATGTTAAAGAAAGTTCAAGTTTTATGCAACTGTCATATAAGTTACAGGTTTAGCTAGCTATAAAACCAGGTTCAATCCACCATTTTCTACATAAGAAAATGCATGTACCAAGTCAGGAATATGACAGTTGTTATCAATTCGTTTGATGTGTTTGGGCTTTATGTTTTGCGGTTTGATTGGGAACTTTCCGTTTTGAGTTTTCCTCGGAGTTCAGTAATTTTGTGATTTTACCTTTTTCGAAAGCCAAGTATTGAGAAAAGCAATTAAAAGACAAATTATTCGATATTCTGAGATAATTACATGCATCCGTATGCATTTGGACAAAACATTTGCGTTATCCCCAGGAGTATAAAAGTTATATATATATTATGATAGATAAATTTGTCGATAAACATTTATAGTTAAACATGCTCTGTTTGCTTGCAAATTTTATTATAATCTGATAGGCTGGTCCTCTCCCTTGCAACACACGGGTATCTCAGACACTAAACAGATAAAAGACAGGGAACCATGAGATCGCCAACTGTTATACCTATTACTTTAGACGTTGCTTTCAGACGTTTTTCCCATGTGCAGCCTTTTCAAATTTCTAGGCTTTTTCTTCGAATTATTCCTTTTTCCAGTGCGGTGACCCTGAGCTTTTTTTTCATTCGTAATAATTACATTAGTTGTATGGTTCATTATCATACGTTATTTTTATTGGCTAACAGCAATCTCGAGTCATTCTTCATTTCAAAATGAATTGTAACATACATGATGACACACGTTTTCACAATAAAATGTACAGGTAAATAAAAGAAAGACTTGATAGTAATCGTGTTTTCATGATCATAGCAAAACAAATGTAATTATAAGTATTGCATGCTTATTTAAGAATTGCATAGGGCTGTAAACGCGTTGACCGTGTGCTCATTTTTAGAATGAAGCCGCGCTTCATACAAAATGTACTTCAGGCAACGCTTTTACACCCTAATTAATTTACAAAAAGAAGCATTCATTTCTTAATCAAAAATGAAAGTGAATATTAATTTGAATACTCTCAGTAAAAATATTGGTCCTTTTTTTTTTGCAATACAGGATCTTAAATAGATATTTTACAATTAAAATGGCGGGGAAATGTTTTTCGAATTATATCAATATCCTATTTTCTTAAGAAGTTAATAATTATTTCAGTGTACTGGTTAATGTTTACTAGCATTTTCATATTGTGAATGACAATTTTGTAGTAGAATTTTAAATTAAAATAACAAATAGAAGCTATTGTTAAATACTTTCAAATGTTTTATTTCTGCCAACAGCACATTTGGTACATTAAAAGGAAGTTTATTTCAGAAAAAAATTGTGCATTCTTTTTTTATTCTGATGAGGCATACTGTATACTCTCGTCAAAGATATACATAAGTTTTTCAAAAAAGATAATGAGAAGCTAACAGCCTCATATCATGCTTTAACCTCAAGTCCTCCTATTTCGATACTGTTCTTTCACCTAAAAAAAGAAAACCAGGTTACATAAAATTAGCAGATGCGATATGATTGTGAATGAGACATTAAAGTGTACACAGGATACCAACTGGCGTAGATATCACTACAAAAGTCAAAAAGTCTGAAAAGACCACTTTTTGTCTGAATTTGCATGAATTTTTACTCGACATTCTTAATTTGTCTAAATAATTTTTAAAAATTCTTGACATAGTATGAATTTGTCTAATAAGGTTCTTGATTTTTCTTGACAAGTGTCTTGACAGTATGAACATTGTCTTAAAATTTCTCGACACTTCCTGTATCATCTGATAAGAGTCTGGATTAGTCTCGACCAATTCTTGACTGTCTTAAATTTGTCTCGATCTGTCTTGACATATTCTTGACATTCTTAATAATGTCTGAATATGTCTCGACATATTCTTGACATTCTAAATAATGTCTGAATATGTCTCGACACATTCTTGACAGTCTTAAATATGTCTTGACACTATCTCAACAGTATAAATTATTGCTGTTATATACTCCTTTTTATTATGGCTAAACTAAACTTTGAAGAATCAAGGATTAATTTGGTATAGTAAGATACCCTTTTGGTGCAACTAAGTTGGAATACCCTGAATAATCCCCCATGTAGTTTAATTTTGATTTATTTTTATTAAACATAAAGTAATTGTTTTCACTTGGAATATAAGTCGAAGTTTTTGACAAACAGCATTTAGATTTTTGCTGTTCGCAAAACTGCCAGTCAAATTTGCTTTACTAAAATAGGTGTCTTGTATCTCTTTTGGACCCCACAATTCATCTTTTGGGTTTGTGTGGCTAAAAAAAGAGGGGGGGTCAAAGAATTTGTTCCCATCTTGATTCAAAAACCTTATTCATTTTTTAGAACAACCCAAAAACATTTTTTATTCAAATATGAGTGTTGAATTTTATAATTTTTTATCAAAAATAAATATTTGTGATAACTCCTTCCTGAAAAGAAAAAAATGTTTAGGTCTATATTATGCATGTCTGTTTGAGAACCATTTCATAAGACCGATGATTTCTATAGAAATCATTGATGGGACCCATTATAAATACATTTTTTTTATTATTCCTGGAGTAGATAATAATTTTCTTTTAATCTTTGGGAATTATTCAATTTGTTTTTATGTTAAAATAATTAACTTCATAATTTTGATGAAGAAAATCCATTTCAATTCAATTTTTTTTCATCAAAATGATGATTTTCATTTTCATCTACCAACAAACTTTTTAAATTGTAGTGGCATGGTCGGTCAACTGATAAGTTGTATGGCTGATTACAGGTAAAGCAATAGCTTCTATTTGACAGTTGCGTGTACTCTGGAGTAGTAGTAGAATAGGGATAAGAAAACAGTAGAGCAGGTAGAGCAGGTAGAGCAGCTTATGTAAATATTGTGCTAGTGATGGCGGAATGTTTGTGTCCACGTGTCATACTTTTGACCAAGGTAGAGCAACATTGGTTGGTAACCAGGTTATGTTTGTCGTCCATTTTGTTTCCACGTTGCAAGGTAGAGCAACATTGGTCGGTAACCAGGGGTATGTTTGTCGTCCATTTTTGTTTCCACGTTGCTGACTTTTTCAAGGTAAAGCAACATTGGTTGGTAACCAGGGTACGTTTGAGATGACGTCCATGGTGTCCACGTTGTAGAATTTTGTGTTGTTTTTTGCTTGTCTAAATTGTTATTTGCTTGGAGTTAGTCAATATGTGAGAGAGATGGTTGTTGGCAAGGGGTGGCATTCATTTTCTTTCCACAACACACAAACTACAGAAACTTGAGAAGAGATAAAACAAAGATTGAAGAAAATAAATTATTTTTATTATCAAAAACTTATATACATTATGTATACATCACATTTTGTGTAGATCACCATTATTGAAAAAACTGATTGAGTATTTTTAGCATAACAAATAAATATTACAATATATGTATAGTATATAAAAACTTGTATTAAAACCGATATTTGAGAATACAACCCTGAGTTTGTTTCTAATATATATAAAATTTTATAAAGCTTCTAAAACAAATGTTTTTTTTTTAACAAGAATGGATTTCTAAAAAGAGACATGTAAAAGATTACATATAGTAATGTGATTAACTAGATGATTCTAGTTTTTAAAAATGACTACAATATAAAAAGTAACTTGATGGAATGTGATAGAAGATAAATTATGTTTTAAAATAAAAATTAACCACATGGTTTTCGTGTTTAAAATGAAAACATGCATGAAGCAAAAATTAAGTGAATGGAATGTTGCACTAAAGTAACAAAATATAGATAAAATATATACAGGTATCATGGTTTGATTAACAACCGTAAATGCTTATTTTTTCAATGTAAGAATACACAGCACCAAAACTATAGTAAAAATGCAGTGTACTACTTTCTTTATAAAACTTGTGTCTTTATAGGGGAATCTGATGGAATGCATAGCACCATATAACAGTTAGCACCAAAACTATAGTAAAAATGTAGTGTACTACTCTCTTTATAAAACTTGTCTTTATAGGGGAATCTGGCGGAATGCATAGCACCATAAAACAGTTAGCACCAAAACTATAGTATAAGCACTACTTTTTTTTTTTTTATAAAACTTGTCTTTATAGAGTATATTTTCAATATAGTAAATATATATAACAGCATGTTATCAGGAGTACAACTATCATGATTTGAAATATGAACTTTAATGATTATCACAATTATTTAGCACCAACTTTAAAACAATTAACATTTGATAAATTATTATAACTATATTGCTTAATAACAAGAAAAACAAAGACTATATACATGTTTTATATTACAGTATAAACATTTCATATACTACTAAGGTCTGTCTAATGTTCCCCATCAACCTCTATAGCATTTTTGATATTTTTACATTATTTTTAAGACCAAATAAACGTTATCTTTTAATCTGATAGATCATATCAGATAATTCCTCTGAGGTAAAGCTTTATAAATATTTTGATTTTCTTCCTTTAGAAGTTATCATACTGTGTAATTACTAAATATTTTTAATTACAATCAAGCCTCAAGCTAAATAACTGTTGATAGATAAACATGTATAACAATCTTTAGATGTAGAGTATAGGAAATTGTCTTAATTGCAATCAAGTTTCAAAACTGATTAACTGTTAATGGAGAACATCAGACAGATAAACATATATTACTTCTAATTTGAGTTAAACTTCTTCTTAACATAACAAAACAGACTTGTGTAAACATATACAAAACTTCTAGATATGTATAATATAAACAACACCCTTTGAAGTAACATCATTTCAAAAATCTGACTTATTCCCTATTTTCATCATAAAAATAAAAAAAATTAAAAAGAGAAATTAAGCGAAAAATGTATCAATTTATCCATAATTTATAATCATGTCAAACACAGGATGTTGAGTCTTTCTTATGTATAGAAAATTATCACTCTCCTTTGTTAAAACCTTCAATAATAAAAAAAAAAGCCCCCCTCAATAAACTTCTTAAGATAATATAGCATAGAAATGCTAATATCTCCTTTGTCATCACAATGGATGCTTAGTCATATATAAATTAATCCTAAAATGGCATCTCAGTTAAGTCTAAATGAATTAAATTTATCAACCCAACTTTATTTAATGAATCTTATCATAACCAAGAGAGAAGAATAAGTCCTTTAATATTTAGGAAAAATGTTATACTTTCATTCTATTTAGAAAACTTTATGATGGATCATCGTGCTTCAATCAGTAACTTTCTTTCTCAATTGACTAATTTTGTATCTCAACATATACCAGTAGTGGGAATTCATTTTTTCCCATGTTATAAGTGTTCAATACAACCTGAGTTGTTTGAAGAAATAAAGAATTGGTATTGTCACCAACTCATCAACACATTCAGTAGCACGCAATTTAATGTTTCTGCACTATATCATGCTTTGTTGCATGAAAGCAGGGAAACTAGGATAGGATGTCTCATAGGAATGAGCGAGACATTTTTGGGAGACCTGATGCAGCAGTGCAATACAGCTAATAGTGTGCAAAGCCGAGACATGCTGCAGATATGATTAGATATCTTAAAGGACAGGTAAGAAATACTTTAAACATTTTTGTATATAAAGTTACTTAATGAAGCAATATGATTCATAAAGCTAGTCTTATAATGGTATTATTCATAGTTTTATAATTAAGGTGGTATCCAACACCTTAACTAAAATTAATTTGGTTCGTTGAGTTTTCATAAAATTTTAACAAAGTATTTATTTTGAACCTTTGATAAAAATTTCAAAATATTTGAACCAACCATTTCATCATAAAAATTACACTG